TTCAGTTTTGACTATAGAACAGTCCCATCGACATCTAATAATGAAGTCAAGTGAATCTAAAACTGGAAAAGGCTCAGGAATACAATCCACGAAAGATAAAATGGGAAAAAAACTGATGTTAGTATTTTAAGAAAATTAAGTCCTTTCCAATAGCTGTTAGTGACTGAAAAATCTCAATGCAGAGACAGATCCATGATGTACTTGATCTCTCTCTTTCCACTCTATAGATATGCTTGCATGTATGGATGTATGTGTGTCTCTATGTATATATATATATATATATATATACACCTTGTTTTCCATAATCACCATTCACTGAAAAAACTGTATCTTCCTTCCTCTAAGAAGAGTATTTTTCAGTCAAGCTTCATTTGATGAGATGCACTTACATATTTTTAGTTTAATGATGAATTACTATCTTACGATTCAAGGATGGATATATCTACATGTTCTTGAAAGGAACTTCAAAGCAATATTTACTTAAAAATAATCAAGAAAGAACTGGGGCAAAAAGGTACCAGCTGAAATTGTGTTGACCCTGACTCTGTGTTTTCTTCCTGCTTCAAAGGCGAGCACCTGAACAAAAGATGAAAATGCCAACATTTTTTAAGTCATATTTTTAACTTTGAAATGCACGACCGGAACAATACTAAAAGAAACAGGAACTCACCCGGGTATCACTTTCAAGTGCAGCTTTAGCAGAACTCATACCACCACCATATCTGTGTATTACATTATTCAAGAACACTGTTACTTGAAGAACGGTGACTAGGTAAAGATTAATGCTTAGTACACGATGAACCACTAACATACCCAGGAATGATTCTCTCTGAAGCTATGTATGTAAGAGATATCGAGGCACCACCTGGATCATCAAACTCCAATCAGAACAAATATGTATTTCTACAGTAGATCATGTATTGACTTTTTTTTTTGAAATAAAAGAAAGGTATTATCATGCACAGTAGATCATGTATGACTTGAAGAGACAAAGAAGAAAGAAGAGTGAGAAAGGAAGTGTGGCAAGATTGGGAAAAGGTAAGAACATGCCTGGATTCATTATTGGAATAAAATGCTTAAGTAGAGAAACATAGGAGTAACTCGAGGCGGATAAAGCTGCAAGATACCCTTTTCTGGATGTCTCTAACAGAGGTTTACTCACCTATCAAGAGAAAATGGCTTGTTGAGTAAAAGAAAGATGTTTGATAGGAATTACACAATGTTAAACTTCTGTACCTCCGGACCATTGGCAAGGGAGTGGACAAGGATGTCGATGCTGCCGAAATCTTGCTTCACAGATTCAGCAACTTCCTGCAGTGTAGAATACGAAAAATTAAAATAACACCTGATGCTTTCCTCAAAAATACTGATGAAACATAAAGTACGCTAGAAATTCAGGTTTTTAGTTTAAATGACTTTCCAAATGACTTGCTGGCATCACAAAATTTTTCAAATGTCTCAAGAGGAGTAGAAGAAAAACCTCTTGGAAAATGGTAGTTAGCTATCCGATAATCTAGAAAGAACTACTAACAACTCATGTTTTTTCTCTGAGGAGCACTAACTATTTATATTTGAATCTGCTAATGAAAAAATAAAGAACTTGGAAGTCCCAACAATGATCTCCTAAGCTAATTTTTCGAAGCACGTGTGCACTTTACATTGACTAAATAACTCAACCAAACTGCAATTTAGGTTTGGCTTAGTTATGAGACTTGAAAAATTCTAATTGAATTTGACTTTAATCAAGAGTCACATCTAGACTTACGCATCGAGATTTTTTTTTTCTTGAAATAAAAGTGTGAAGAAGCATGCATCGAAATTATACCCCCTGGAAATATTTAATGGCTACTGTTTTTTCTAGTATCAATGGATCATCAAAACTGTAGATGAACAGAAAGGCATAAGCTTGGAACTTAATTTAAACTCCAAAATCAGCTTCCCCACTTACTGTGGACATTGCACATAAATATTGAGGAGAGAGGTGTGTTGGATCTCATACCTGAACAGTCCAGTTAGAGGATCCTGCATAACGCTTATTTGTTTTTATCTGGAAACACAATATTGAAAAGTTTTACAATAAGAGACATGTGATTATTTTTATGTACAGAACTGAAAGTAGTTACTTATATCCATTACATCTTCAGGAACATCCTCAGGGTTGTCAAAAACTGCATCTAAAGGATATACTTTAGTAATCTCCATCAAAGAGCCATCTGGCAATCTGGAAAAAGAAAATGTTTCCTTAGCGAAGGCGATAGAACCATACACCAACAGAACACAAACCAGCCCTAGCATCTTACACGCGTGATTCATCAAATTTCCCACGTCGCAAGCTGGTCTCAAAAATATTCAGAGCCTACACAACAAACGTTTAGCTCAGAAACAGAAAGCTCTAAATTATTATGAATATGGCTAGGAAGAAGATTTAATTCACTTACAGGCACCCATGTTCCGACCAAAATTTCAGCACCTGCAGCTGCAAGAGATTTTGCTATTGCCCAACCATATCCATTGTCATCAGCTATGCCAGCAATGAATGCCCTTTTTCCTATACATTTTACCACTTATAGTGTTAGTCTGATAGAAAGGCTATCGTTTTATGCTAACCATGAAGTCATCAAAATGAGGATAAGCGAAGGCAGTAGCATTATTGAGAAACAATATTCCAGCTTGGTATAAAGTACGAAGTAACTGATCCAGGAGACATTATACTATCATCAAATGCATTTCGTACCATCAAGCAATTTAGGTAATGCTGCCTAAAGCAGATAGGTGCATTTTTCCTGTGTCTCAAGAAACTGGCTAGATAATATAGGTCGGATGCATCTTTGGGAACCTCAATCGAGACAATAACCAAATGAAACCCAGTACAAACACATTTGCATTGGTTGTGCTAGTAGCTGGGTAAGAAAGAGAATCCAAACGCAAAAGACTCATAAAAAAGTGCTTATTGGGAAAAAAAAAGGCTCAATAAGCAGAGATAAGTCGGCTCAAAGAAAAATAAGAAGAAGTCAGTATTGCAGATAATAACAAGAAAATGGAGCAATTAAAACATAGCAAACCTTTCAAATCAATTGGCAACCCAGATGAGGGCTTATTTTCGTTGGACTCAGACATTGCCTTTGTAACGAACTTATTGAATTTTATCGAAGATGATGGAAAACTGCATTGAAAAAGTTGTGGAGATGATATATGACGACCACTGGTAAGCTTATCCCATGACGTGCCTTTAGGATTAGCACTGAGACTGGCAATACCTGCCTTGGTAACCTTCCGAGAAGAGTTAATGGAAGATCTTCCTGTTGCTATATGTAAGCTTGAAGCTGCTGCTACTGCCATTCTCAATAAACTAAATTTCCAAGAGGAAATTAAATATCTGTAGAAAGGACATAAGAAAGTTAAAGGTTATGCAAAGCCAATAAAACATACATGTACTCGCACACTCATACTCCGAATTAAGAACCTTGGAGGATCTATTACATCAAAGTGCAAACCTGTGCATTCACAATTCACATTATATAGAAAAGCTCGAATTCGTATTGAACTTTATAAACTATGGAAAATATTCTGAACCATTCCCCAATTCATGCATATACAAATTCAGGTTTAATGCAGTAAAGTAGCTAGCTTATTTCTCCTTTCTTTATCCCACATTCTCACCAAACAAAAAGAAAAACAAATCCATCCTTCTCAGGAAACTAAACCAAGACAAATCCAGAAAAGTTAAACCTGACAGTTCACCTATCGGATCAGTCCGAAATACACCCATCAAATTAAACCTAAAAAACGATCAATCTAAGGTAAGTTATCAAACAATACATCCTCAAGAACAAAATGTCACAAAGAAACAAACACATTCAAGAAATGAAACCCAAAACCGCATTTCTCATAAATCTCTCTGAGGAAATCAGAGAAAACTAAAGGTAACCCAGATAAGATAACAACGAAAATCACAATTATCTAGCACAGATACGATCGAAACAAGAAAGAAGAGATACATCGACACAGAGAGAGAGAGAGAGAGAGAGAGAGAGAGAGAGAGAGAGAGAGAGAGGTACCTTGGAGAGATGGAGAGAGCCAACGTGAGAGATGGAGGGGAAGAGAGCTAAGAATGGGGATATGGGGTTTAGGTAAAATGGGTTCGATAGGATCGAGGTTGTCTCCTTGCGTCACTGGCGAGAAGTTTAAGCAGCTAAAAAAGACTGTAACAAGAAAAAAGCTTTGGAAATGTCGAAAGGCAGGTGGCGAGAAAGGGAGGAAAATCAACCCTCTTCTCGCTGTCGTTGGTAATTCTTGTTTGGTTCTTCGGTAGGTTCGTAGTTATTTATTATTTCCACAGAAAGAGAGGGGGAGAGTGTGTGCTGTTAGGGTGTACAAAGAGAGTGTCCGGTTTGTGTGTGAACTCCAGATGTGAAAGTTTCAAGCTTTACCTGGTGCGAGTAGATTCCTCTGTCTCTGGTTTCTGTACATTTATATACCAGATTTGGAAAGTTTATTTTTATTATATATTATAATATATAATAAATTTTACACAGCAAATACACTAAATTAGCTATTTTTAGCTAATGACTGATTCATAAAAAAAAATGTATGTATCAATTTAGTTAAAAATATTATTGTTTATAAAATAAGGGTTAAAAGAAATTGTAAGTATAGGCCCAATACTTACACATTATGGACCAGGCTTTATCCCACAAGTGGGATCCACTTCAATTTCAACTATATTCATTTGGTCTAGTTCATGTATTACTAGGCCAACCTATACATATATATCACTTGGGTATATATATATATATATATATATATTCAATTTTCAACTAAATTCATTTAGTCTAGTTCATGAAGATAGTCCAAACCCACAAAACCCTTTGAAGGCCAAAGTTTAATTTCATGTATTACTAGGCCAATCTATACATATATATATCACTTGGGTATATATATATATATATATATATTCAATTTTCAACTAAATTCATTTAGTCTAGTTCATGAAGATAGCCCAAACCCACAAAACCTTTTGAAGGCCCAAGTTTAATTTCATGTATTACTAGGCCAACCTATACATATATATCACTTGGGTATATATATATATATATATATATATATTCAATTTTCAACTAAATTCATTTAGTCTAGTTCATGAAGATAGCCCAAACCCACAAAACCCTTTGAAGGCCCAAGTTTAATTTCATGTATTACTAGGCCAACCTATACACATATATATATATATATGTCAATTGGGTAGTGTTGTTATAAGGCGCCATTGATGACCTTAAAAAGCATATAAATTATCACCATAGAAATTAAAGAAGCTTTATATATATATATGTATGTGTGTGTATATATGTATATGAGGAGGGAGGCCCCATTAGAATCAAGTTGTTGGTGAAATGGCAAACGGATCCAATTGATTTTATTGGCCCCATTAACATATTTATCAGTATATTATATTATATATATATATATATATATGTATATGTATATGTATAAGCTCACTCTTGGCCTTGCTATGAACAGAGGAAACAATGACCTAATTATATTGGACTATAGTGTCTTGACCAATCATATTAAATTGCAATTTATATTATTTTTTGTCACTAAATTAATTTAATAAAAATAATATTAAATAATATAATTATAAATATAATTAACTTAAATTATATATCAAATTGACTTGAAATTAAAATTTCTTATAATTTAATTCTTTATCATATTTGTATTAAATTCATACTTTTATATCATATAATTAAACTTTATATTAAAATCTTAAATTTGTATACTAAAAGTTTTCTCATAAAAATACATGAAAAGTGAGTAAACCACACATATTTATGTCCTAAAAACAAAGGAACATAAAATTTTTCAAACAACATAACACCATATATATATATATATACATATACATATATACACACACACAAAGATGTATAGCATGGTGACTTGTAACCCACCATTGACATGTATGTAAAAAGATATTGTGTCCATGCAAATGGGTAAATGTCAAATTTAGAACTATTTGATAGTCTACCTTCGAAATCTTTGTGGGCAATGTATCTTTATATATATATATATATATATTGGATTTGGGTTATGATTATTACATATTATTATAATTATTTTTGTCTTGGACACGTTTTTTATATGCATGCACTCGACAACAAAAAATTGTATCAAATTTGTGGGTTTTGCAAATTGACATCGCATGCTAATCAACATATCATCAAGAATACAATATATATATAGGCGTAAAAACTTATAATTTAAATAGAAATAAAGTTATAAATTAAATGCGAAAGGAAATAATAGAGTTATGATGTATATTTTTTATACAATAATTTAAAATGTTCAATAGAGTTACAAGAATATTCATTTTAAAAAAATAAATAGAAATTAAAGAAATAAACGAAAAATAAATAATTAATAATTCTATAATGACTTTTACTATTTTTTGAAGGAAGTTTGGATGATGAACTACTCATAACTCTCTTATTGATTGAGATTTGGATCTTGGTCCTTTTGATTTGAAATAATTAATAAAAGTGTAAAATATATTATCCTATTAACAATATCACACTAATCACAGATAGGAAAAATTGAAGATTGATAAAAATAAAAAAAATAACCAATGAATTTTTTAATTTAATTTAAATTCATTTATTATAAAGAAAGTCATTTATTTCATATTTACATAACAAGTTTTTCTAAAAATAACCTATGAATACTTGTATTCATACACTTTTTATTTTCACATATAAGATAACAAGAGATTATCAATTTTTATTTTTACCCACTTACCAGTACCTCTGGGGGTCTATAAAGATGTCCACCTACTTGTGAACATAATATCAAATTTAACGATTAACCGGTCATCTCTATACCCTGTCCGGTAATGGGTGCCAAATATTCTACCACCTCAATATCTCGTCCGTTATAAGGGTGAACCATATCTCCCAAACTTTACTGGTAAGAGACTTCTCAGCCCCGTCCGACTAAGATAATGTTCACGATATGTACCGGATTCATCCGTCCTTTTCCGAGTACCTAACAAGTCTTTCATATACAGATTTTCATAACAATCAACCATGCAATACCCATATCTCGTTTTATATTCACAGATCAATAAAATAACATTTAGGTAAGCAATTAAACTTATCATAACCAATAACTGAGTAATCAGATAACTAGATAAACCATGCAGGAAAGAACCAATTAATCCAGATAATCGAGGAGAAGACTATACAAACTATCAATATAAGCATACACAATGTAATGGTAAGTAATTCAGGGTAGAACATGAAAACAAACTGGGAATCAAGAAAAATGTGTACTAACCGGTTCCGATTCTACCAGTAACCTATAATTTATTTTTAGAGTTTTCTAATTTTTCATAAAAACATATAATTATCGATTATTAAGCTTTAATTTACCGTAACGAAGAATAGGGTGAGAGATCTTTACTTAGATTGGTATCTAGAGACGTCGTGCTATCTACTACGTTTCCTAACGGGTACTGAATTTCTTGAATTTTTTATGTAGAATCTAAAATACTTGTCACGTACCTAAAAATATCCTAAAAATTCAAAATCGGTTCTAAAACTCATTTCGACCAATTTTGGAATTTCAGCACGGCGGCGCTGTCATGCTTCGCCGCTGGCAATTCACCTCTGCCTACTCTGTTTTGGCCATATCCTTCTAGAAAAACACGTTAGGGGCATCGGTTGGCAGGAAAATCACAAAAAACTGAACCTACCGGCGGGGGGATCTCCGAGTGCGGCAGTTCTGCCAGTTCTCCTTCGCAGATGAGGTTCTTTCTTCGGTTAACCTGTACAGAAAAGGACAGTGAATACAATGATAAAAAAATTTCGTAAAATAGAAATTGGGAAGGGGCTTATTGGAGGGGTTTTGAGGTTTTGGCCGCGGCAGCTCTGTCGGGTTTTGCCCGTAGTTTTTGGCTAACCTGTCGTCATTTTTTCTTCGATTTGATCATAGGAGTGTTCAAAATTGAATTCTGAGCGGGTAGAGATAATTTTTACCTTTTTTGGTAGTCGACGGTAACTCTGGTGCGACGGCGGTTGGCAATCAGCTTCTTTCTAAAGCGTTTTGATTTTCTTCTCTGGCGGGGATTGGCGGCTAGAGTTTGGGTTTCCGTGTGGTGCGAGGTATTTATATCTATCCCGCATTTATTTGAGTCATCTATCGCGATCGATCTTGTCCGTCTAATCGCACATAAGGAGGAAATGAATATGAATCGTCTATCATGATTTGATCTCGACAGTCTGATCACGCTTAAGAGGGAACAAATTCGGACCGTCCACACGTGCATGATTGATCATGGACCGTCCGATCGCGGGGCACACATATCATCTGTGTGGCATCCCGCGTGACACCGATGTCAGTGTGCCTCGTCACACAGCGTGCTCTGGTTCGTCGGAGATGCTGATTGAGCAGTTCTACATGACACAATTTTTTTTCTATATAATCAAAATTTTATATATATATGTATGTAATTGTTATTAAGTGGGTCTTTTGAACAAGTTATAATTTACAAAAAATAAATAAGATAATTTATATATATATTATTATATCAAATATTATTTTTATATAGATTATATACTCTTATATATATATATAATTGTTGTTTTCTACCCTAACCCACTAATCTAGTGGAGCATCATGTAAATCATTTTTGTGTTCTTCTTCATTCTTTGAATCTTTTTACAGTTCATCAATGGATATTTTTAATTATAATTAATTATTTTTTTAGTCTTAGAAATTCAGTAATTAGTCAACTTAAGTATTCTTAATAATCTCTCTCCTCATAATTTATAGTTAATGACATATTTAATGGTGTTTAATCCATTATTACTTTTTTTTTTTTTTTTTACTTATAAACATGTAAATGCAATAACTTCATAAAATAAATATTTTATTGCATGAATCTTACACACACACACACAGATACATACACACATACATACATGTATGTATGTATACATGTATATGTTTGTAATCATTCATAAAAAGCCAAGAGAGAGGCAAATAAGGTTAATGAAAAATGTGGGAGTGATGGGGAAAGGAGTTATGAAGTGGAAGACAAAGTGATGAGGATGAACAGCTGAGAGAGAAGAAAAGTCAGTGGGAGACAGCTGCTTATATGCTGATAACATTAAAATTTTTGATAAGTCAATTGTATATACAGTGTAATGTATATAT